ACACACACACACGTGCATCATTCACACACATACACACATGTGCATCACTTACACACACACACGTGCATCACTCACACACACACGTGCATCACTCACGCACACACACGTGCATCACTCACACACACGTGCAACACACACACGTGCATCCCTCACACACACGTGCATCACTCACACACACACGTGCATCACACATACACACTCGTGCATCACACACACACACGTGCATCACCCACTCACACACACGTGCATCACCCACTCACACACACAGTGCATCACTCACACGTGCATCAGTCACACACACGTGCATCACTCACACGTGCATCACTCACACACACACACGTGCATCACTCACACACACACACGTGCATCACTCACATACACGTGCATCACTCACACACACGTGCATCATTCACACACACGTGCATCATTCACACACATACACACATGCATCACTCACACACATACACACGTGCATCACTCACACACACACATGTGCATCACCCACTCACACACACGTGCAACACACACACACAGACGTGCATCACTCACACACACACAAGTACATCACACACACACACACAAGTACATCACTCACACACACACACGTACATCATACACACACGTGCATCACTCAAACACACGTGCATCACTCAAACACACGTGCATCACTCAAACACACGTGCATCACTCAAACACACGTGCATCACTCACACACGCACGTGCAACACACACACACGTGCATCACTCACACACACGTGCAACACACACACACACACGTGCATCACTCACACACACACGTGCAGTACATCACACACACACGTGCATCACTCACACACACACACACACGTGCATCACTCACACACACGTGCATCACTCACACACACACACGTGCATCACTCACACACACACACGTGCAGTACATCACACACACACGCGCATCACTCACACACACACACACACGTGCATCACTCACACACACGTGCAACACACACACACGTGCATCACTAACACACACACGTGCAACACACACACGTGCATCACACACACACACACGTGTATCACACACACGCACACACGTGCAACACACACACGCACACACACGGATACGAAGCCATCTCACACTTAGACACGTATACTCATCTCACATGCGCACACCCACACACACAGAGAGCACAGACGTACACAGCCCAAAACCTCACCCCGCAGGGCTCCGACCACACTTTTTCTTGGCTTGACTTGTTTCACTATTACACTCTCGAATTTTAAACATTGCTCGGAGAGTAAGGAGGAGGCATGAGATGGAGGAGGAGGGGAAAGTAAAATGGAACAGCAACGGAGCGAACGACGCTCTTCCGCCACGTGAAACGCCGTCTCTTTTTATTTTGCCAGGTGAGGCCCACTGAGCTATGTAGCTCTCTTTTCAGAAGCGACCTGGCCACAAATGATAGCGCAACGACAAGTGGCTTATAATCACGTGGACATTTATAACGGCCAAATGCTCTAAGACGCATTATTCTAAATGCGGAGGAGAAACCCAGAGGACCCGGAGAAAAATCCACGCGACCACGCGGAAAGAGACGAGCAAAAAATATACAGCAGGCGCCAGGGTATGGATCTAACCCGCGACCTCCTGTATACCAAGCAAAGTAGTTAACATCTCCTAGTCCCCGTAATGATAATGATGATGAGAGAGAGAGAGACACGCAAACTACAAATATACAGCAGGCGTCAGGGTCTGGATCGAACCCACGACCTCCTGCATACCAAGCGAGGTAGTTAACATCTCGTAGCCACCGTAATGATGATGAGAGAGAGAGAAACACGCAAACTACAAATATACAGCAGGCGCCAAGGTGTGGATCGAACCCACGACCTCCTGCGTACCGGGCGAGGTAGTTAACATCTCGCAGCTACCGTAATGATGATGAGAGAGAGAGAGACACGCAAACTCCAAATATACAGCAGGTGTCATGATCTGGATCGAACCCACGACCTCCTGCATACCAGGCGAGGTAGTTAACATCTCGCCAGCATTGGCACCGCGTTCCCCTAGCCACGCCTGCGTGCGCCGCTCACCCATGGCAGCCGCGGGGCCCTCGCTCGTGTTGGGTTCATTTCCCCCGATGTGCCCGGGGGGTTGGGGGGGGGGGCTTTCTGCCCTGCTCAGGCACGTGCCTCCTCGCGCGCGGGTTACGTAAGAGGCCATGAAACATTCACGGTGCCAGAGATGAGCGCTGTGCCGCTTGTCAGCCCCGTGTCCCCCGCACAACCATCACCGCCAGCCCGACCCACACCCCACTCCCTGCGCCGATTTAATTCGGCTGCCAGCCACCCTCCCTCGTGTGTCCCAGTGGTTTACGCTCTGATTTATGTTTGCTTCATTGCTGTTGCTTTTTTTTATTTGTTATGCTTATTTTAATTTTAGTGACCCTCACTACCGAGGGTGACTCGGCGGCGAGATGTTAACTCCCTCGCCTGGTGTGCAGGAGGTCGTGGGTTCGATCCCAACCCTGACAATGCCTGCTTGTATGTTTGGAGTCAGCGTCTCTCTCTCTCTCATCATCATCACCACGGTGGCTCGGAGATGTTAACTCCCTCGCCTGGTTTGCAGGAGGCCGTGGGTTTGATCCCAGCCCCATAACGCCTGTATATTTGGAGTTTGCGTGTCTCTCCCTCTCTCTTTCCTCGGAGTAGCGTTAATTTTTCTCCGGGTCCTCTGTTTTTGTTTTCTTCCCTTCAACATTTTATAATCAACGTGAGTTTTTGGCTGCTCTAAGCCACTTTGTTGAGCCATCATTTCTGGCCATATAGCTTATGAAAAAGAGCTTTTAGGATCAGTGAGCCTCACCTGGTAAAATAAAACAGTTTAAATAACACTTTCAAATGAGTCTCATTCGGTCTCTTTGGGTTCTCGCCTCGTTATACAAAATCTACTTAAAACCTGAACTTACTCATCATGTCACTCAATAATGTATCCACTCGCTTATTCATCCACTCATGCATTCACCCACTGATGCATTCACTCACCCACTCACCCATTCATTCACTCATGCGGTCACACATTCGCCCACTTACCGACTCAAGTAAATGTCTCGTCCCGATCTCTTTGATTGCCCGCCTCATTAACAAAGTAAACTTGAAACGCGAACCCTCGAGATCGTAAACAGCTCACTCTCTTGCCAGAACCTGCAGCCAATGTTCAGTTCCTTGGATGTTCTCTTATCCGTTGTGATGCGCGAGGTGGACGCACTGATAAGGGCAGATCCTCGTGTCCGGGCTTATCCAGACATTGACAAAGAAACTGGAATAAAAGCTTAAACGTTTGGTACAAATAAAGCGTGGATAGGTGCACGCTCTGAATAAAGCTGAGAGACAGAATGGGGAACACCTGGATTGTAAGAGATACGCAAGCTCGAGATATGACTTTGAATGCGAATTACGGTAAGTGTGATGCTGCTGCTGCTACGATTATCGCTGCAGCTTCTGCTAAACTCGTATCCGCCCGCGTGCTGTTTCTGGTAAATATGTCGCTACGTAATTTGTCACTGCTGATTCTGCTGCTATCGCCTCTGCTCAACTATTATTACTCTCGTGCTGCTGCTGCAGCTGCTGCAGCTGCTGGCGTGATGCAGCCCGGCAGTAGCGCATTCGACCGCTCGTTGCAGAGGGGTTCACGGTTCGAACCATTGCGGCCGCCCCGATGAGCACGAGCCGTAAGAATAACTACGCGTCCCGTCTTTTTAAACCTCGCAGTGGAGGTTGAAGGATCTCGTGACGTGATTTTTGCAAGAGTCGGTCTCTGTGTGCCGGTGTCAGGGTCCAGATTTTGTTAAATTCGAAAACTTACACCGCGTGTTACTCAATTTTGATTACACACAGCAGTAGCAGGAGCAGCAATCGTGGCCACTTACTGGCAGACTAATGCCCCCAGGCAAATGAGACTCACTCTGATCCCTTGAGGTCTCACCTAGTTAAACAAAACAACCTGAAAACGCAATCGAGTTGGTTGTTTATCCACTGCTGCCCTGGTCCCCAGAGGTGTGGACTCGAGTCATGTGACTTGGACTCGAGTCAGACTCGAGTCATGAATTTGATGACTTCAGACTCGACTTGGACTTGCATAACAATGACTTTGTCCCACCTCTGCTGGTCCCTGCTACTGGGTGTTCATCTTCTTTGTTTCCGTGCGGCGTGCGGCGCTGATAAGCAACTGATTTGTGGAACGGCAACACGAGTTAGAGGTTGACGTTGCGGTTTCGTTTTCCCGTTCCACGGTCCTGGTTGTCAGCTGGTGAATTGCCTTGGTGCTGTCATTTATTGGTCGTCATTAGGGTGGCTAAAATTGTTTAATTTTGTATTCCCAGGGAAAAACCGGTAAGAACCCAGGTACCAGTTTGTTACCCATATAGATATGTCCAGCAAGAAATATCAGTTCGCTACCTTTTTTTGTTTAACTAACGAATTTAAGGAAGCTGCCACAGCGGTGATGGTACCGGTTCGCACACCGGACTTGTCACCCAGAGGTCGCCGGTTAGATTCCACCGGCAGGGAAGTTTGAAGCCTCGACGCGAGACCCAATCCGTGTGCTCATTGCCAACATTCCACGGCAATCGCTAACCCGTTCCCTACATTTTGGAACCGGGAAGCCATTCTGACAGCGGTCACCGGTTACCGTTAAATGAGCCTCATCTCTTCACGGGCAGGCAGCAGCGTCGACCGCACGCCCCGTCGTTTGCGCCTCGCTCCACGGCCGCCGGTCGAACCGTCGTCTTTTACTTTCGGCTCATGCGCACGAGACGACCACAACGGCCACGACGGCCGCGGCGATTCTCTGCAGGCCCCCAAGGCTTGGCGGAGAAGCGAGAAGCCAGCAAGGGGTTTCGGTGGGGGGGGGGGGTCACCCGATGAGGTCTTCTTCGGGCCCAATTGATGTTGGCTAAACGCTCGTTACCCTCTTGCCACCTCCTCCCTCCCGCCCGTGGGGGTCTCCACCGCCGCAGGGCTTCCTGAAGGACGAGCGCGTGGCCCGAATGGTGAGCGCCGGCGGCCTGGCGCAGGGCGAGCTGCGCGACGCGTTCCGCCGCCACGTGCAGCGCCGCATCCGCGGCCTCCCCGAGATCGACGGCGTCTCCAAGGAGACGGTGCTCAACTCGTGGCTTGGCAAGTACGACTCGATGGTGTCCGTGGCCACGGGGCCCGGCGGCGGGCCCGGCGGCCCCCCAACGCGGGGCCACGGCGCCGTCGCGATGATGGTGCCGGCCACGGAGATGCTCATGTCCAAGGAGCAGCTGTACGACATGTTCCAGCAGATCCTCGGGGTCAAGAGATTCGAGCACCAGCTGCTGTACAACGCCTGCCAGGTACGCTGCCAGTGTCAACGTCGTTGTCATTTTGAATCGCGATTGAAAACGGATTTTCTTTAGAACTGCTTTTTGTGTTTTAGTTTGGTGTCCTTCCCCGCACCTCCGGTTAATGCGGTTGACAGCGTACGGTGTGAAAGAAGTTCTACATCGTCGTCATCCATCAATTATCATCAGAATTATTTAGAGGTGATCTTAATCGTCAGGGCTGCTACCACCACCAACCACCACCATGATCATCATTACCAACTCCCGCTTGGTCTACGTCTCCTACTTCGTTGAACCTTCCTCACCCTCGTCATCGCTTTGAGAGAGAGGTGAGAGAGAGAGATGAGAGGGGCAATGTCCACGTGCTGCTGCCGTGCCGTGCTCTCACCCCCGTTTGCTCGTCTCACAAACGAGCGTCGGCCCCCCCGCCCACGCGCTCTGTGCACCGCGCTAATGAGCCGCCTATTTATGCATCACCTTAGACGAGTGGCCACCGACGCTGCCTGCTGGACAACATACAAAAAAACCCACCCCACCCACCCACCTACCGGCGAATAAGCGAAGTACGCAGCCGATTGCCGGCCAATTTCGCTGATCGCATTTTGAACGCCGGAGCAATGGGGCAGACTAAAGGTCGCGCTAAACTAGGACGGCTTTTTAGGCAATCATCATCATCAGCAGCAGCAGCAATCATCGGCCCCGTTTACCATGCGCAGCCATGGCGACCTGCTACAGCAGGGGCGTGGCGGAGTTCTGTCCAGGCCAATGGGAACGGAGCTTCGTGAAGCAATTGAGTTTGACGAGCAAGCGATTTGGTTCGAGCGGGCTTCTTCACCTGGCAGCCCGCGGGGGGAGGAGGGGCGGGGGGGCAAATCTGGCCCGCAAAGACTCTTGAAGGTGGCCCACCGAGAGAAAACACGGACAGATTGGTGAGATGACGGTGAGCCGAGCGAGAGAGAGTGGGAGAAGATGGTACACTCGGGGACGAGGGGTAGAGATGAGTGATCGCATGTGTCACATCGGCATACGCTGATGTATTTTCTCAATTGAAAACTGATTTCTTTAGATTCGTGTGGTTAGTTTTATGGCCTTGCCTCGCACCTCCGGCGAGCCTTGTGGGCCACGTACGGTGCAAAAGAAGTTCAATGTACCTAAGATATTGTTTGAAGTGCCGTGGCCCAGAGAAGACAACATCGTCTGGTGGTCATCTGACTTGTGTGTGCGTCCGCTTGGAAGTTGCCATCCCAGTTGCCCATCGGGGGTGGCAGCAGTCAGATCTGCCCACATCTGAGCAGCTGCCGTGTTTGCAACAGAAAACGGAGCAGAAAAGTAAATAAGGGGCCGTCCATAAATGACGTCACGCACCTGGGGGGGGGGCGGGGTCAGACATTTGTGACGAACTGTGACGAGGGGAGGTGGTTGAGAAATGTGATGTCACATCAAAATGCGCAACTTTAAATATAAGCAACACGTTCTATTTAATTAAATATATTTTTTAAATAAATGTTTCCCCCTACAACATCAGAGTGCAGCGCCATTAAATATGCACTACAATGACAATAGTTTAAAGCGATTTGAAGCATGTTTTATATATATTTTGGGGGAGGGGGCAGAGCTTTGTGACGTCATATTTGAGGGGGGGGGGGTCTGACTTTTTGTGACGTCGTGTGACGAAGGGCGGGGGGGGTCAAAAATAGTCCAAAATCGCGTGACGTCGTTTATGGACGGCCCCTAAGAACGACTAGGGTCTGAGCGTTGGGCTCTAGACGGCAGTCGGCAACACACGTTTATGCACCGCAGACACGAGGATGATGATGATATGGAGCCGTGGGATCGCAATAATGGATCGGGTGAGAAGTTGAGAGGCGAGGAAGCGGGCAGGAGTGGTGGTGTACATCTCAGACGCGCCGGAACAAAGTCGACTCTGATCGCGAAGAAGAGAGGGAAACCCACAGATGAAGTCGACAAGGAAGCAACATGGGCGGAGAGCGAGAGAACAGGCCGAGAGAGAGAGAGGGGTGATGCTAAGTTGGCCGAAGCCAGATGTGAAGAAGTGGACGCGGAGATCATGGCCCATGACAGGAGCGAGTGGAGAGAGAGGAGCGAGTGGAGAGAGAGGGGCGAGTGGAGAGAGAGGAGCGGTCAAGCAGCCGGGGACCCCACGTGAGTGATACAAACGCCAGGGAGAAGAAGAAGAGGAGGAGGAGGAAGTGGAGGAGGAAGTCGAGGAGGAGGAGGCGAATGTGGCGCGACGATAATTAATTTCTGCCGACGATCGCTCTGACATTGCTCCCAGCGCACTCCCAATGTTTACGAGCAGCGCTCAGCAGCATTTGGGCTGCGAGCGGTGGGGGGTTGGAGGGGGTTCGAGGGGTGGGGGGCGTCCTCTGCGTGCCCCCCTCCCCCACAACGCCGCGGCTGCGTCGGTAGCTCGGCCCGCAGGCCACCTTGAGGCGTCAGAGCGGAGAGCGGCGACGCGTGGAGGTGAGGGAAGGAGGAAGGGGGGGCAGGGGGAGGGGTGCCGTTGATCAGCCGCGCCAGGTCACGTCCACGAGACCCCCACAGACTGTGACGTCATTGGCACCACCATCGCCGCCATTATTGTGTTGATTTATCATCGAAATGCGCACAATCACCATTATCCATCACCTTTGCAATTCTCATCATCATCAATCGGACATCACCAATCCACTGTGGATGGAAGCCTCGCTCCCCCCCCCCCCTGAGGCCATCGCCATCTCCTCATGGTTCTTCGATGTAACAACCCGGCTCTCGCTCGCACGCTCGACGATTTCATAGCTCCGTCTCCTCAGTGGACGTCCCCTCTCAGGCGTGTTCCCTCATCGACAAGCTGCCGCTCGGAGCATCAGTCGCCACCGCCACCACCGTCATCACGTTACGACGATGATGATGATGGTGGTCGCCTTCATAACCACACCTCAGTGGGATCGTAACCGCGACGCACAGGGTGATGCACTCCTCGCAGCAGAGTACGGAGCGGGGAAATCTCTCCACCTCATGACTCGACGCCGAGAGCGCAATTGGAACATCATTTTGTGGTGGGGGGCAGGTTGGGGAGAATCTCCATCTCAATGGGTCCCAGCCTTCCGTCAATCACTTCTCTGTGGCCACCGCCACTACGAATCCATCCCCAATCCCAGCAGCCCCGGTGGAAGACAGACGCCACTCATCCTTTCCTGATTCCCTGTTCCAGTTTTTCCTTCCTTTTCCATCATTTTCCTCGTATTTTTTCAATTACTTCCCTTCTGCTCTCTTCCCTACTACTTTTTTTTTATCTTTTCCCACTCATTATAGTCTTTAACCCCCCTTGCCGGCCGTGGTGTGTGCCACAGGCACAACAGTTTTATAAAAAAAAAACAAGGAAGAAAAAGCACGCAAATGCAAGAATCCAGTCACCCTTTTTTAACATGCCAATGACCCCCCAAGCATCTCAGCACAGACGATGACGTTACCCTCCTAGCCGCACAACGAGATGATGTCGCACGCTGCTCGCCGTGGGACAACGCTAGACTACGTCATCACCCTGGGCGTGGAGGCGAAATCCTTTTTACCGATTACTTTAATTTTGTATCGCTGTTGTTGGGCAAAGACTCTAACGATTTTCGTGGGAAGCTCCCTAATAGCGACACCAATGTACGATACTAAATTTGTGCTCCCATTGGATCTTGGTTTACGAGAGTAAACGTCTGCTCTTCCGGTCGTGCCGTCTACCAAAGTTGAAAAGCGTTCTGAGGGCCACGTGGCAGGATCTCCTCGCTGTGCTGTAGCCATTGTGCTAGGGCAGAGGTCATCGCTTGCCTTCGAACGGGGTCGTAATGGCTGGATGGTAGCGGGGGTGTGTGGCGGTCGTGGCTGAAGCCAGAGCTGGTCATGGATGAATGTCGTTGAGTCGCTTGCGTGTACATGCGCGGTGGTGCAGCGGTGTTGGCGTGCTGCGCTACGAACCCGGTGACCCGAGTTCGATTCACCGCTCATGGCCAACGCGAGTGACGATTATCTGAACCGGTGCTGGGCCTCCCTCGAGGTCTACTCGGCTGCGAATTGACAACCTGGTGCGCTGTGGAAACATCGCCACTGGGGAGACAAAGGTGCATGGCCGTAGTGCTGGCCACCCCACCCGCTCGCTTGCCATGCCGGCCTTCGTAGTTGCCCGTTAAACACCACTTGCCCCCCAAAAAAGTCTGTTATGGTTATGCGGGGAGGGGGGGTGACCCTCTGTCTTTGCGCGTTAGCGAGTGAGAGATGTCGAGCCTTTCCGTGTGAAAGACCTGCGAGCTGTAATTGCTTCCTAACGACCTCGTGAGCAGCGATCTCGCCATCCCAGCTCACGGCCTCTTCACGTCAGGCGATTCATCTCCCCCTCCTACGCCTGCGGTGTCGCGGCTCTCTCCCTTCACCCACTTACCTCCTCGCCGCCATTCTCAGAGTTTATCGGCCTGACTTCTCTCTCTCTGTTCATCTGGCTCTCTGTGTTCATCTGGCTCTCTGTGTGTTCATCTGGCTCTCTGTGTGTTCATCTGACTCTCTGTGTGTTCATCTGGCTCTGTGTGTGTTATCTGACTCTCTGTGTGTGTTCATCTGACTCTCTGTGTGTTCATCAGGCTCTCTGTGTGTGTTCGTCTGGCTCTCTGTGTGTTCATCTGACTCTCTGTGTGTGTTCATCTGACTCTCTGTGTGTTCATCTGACTCTCTGTGTGTTCATCTGACTCTGTGTGTGTCCATCTGTCTCTCTGTGTGTTCATCTGACTCTGTGTTCATCTGACTCTCTGTGTGTTCATCTGGCTCTGTGTGTATGTCCATCTGTCTCTCTGTGTGTCCATCTGTCTCTCTGTGTGTTCATCTGGCTCTCTGTGTGTTCAGCTGGCTCTCTGTGTGTTATCTGACTCTCTGTGTGTTCATCTGACTCTCTGTGTGTTCATCTGACTCTCTGTGTGTTCATCAGGCTCTCTGTGTGTGTTCATCTGACTCTGTGTGTGTTCGTCTGACTCTCT